ACGGTGCCTGCAGCCCAGTACGGGTACCCGCATCCCAGTATGGGTAGCCACATCCCAGTACGGTACCTGCATCCCGGTCTGATACTCACATCCCAGCATGGTACCCACATCCCAGTACCGGTACCCATGTCCCAGTACGGTACCTGCATCCCAATATGGTACCCGCATCCCAGTACGGTACCTGCATCCCAGTACGGTACCTGCATCCCAGTAGTGGCACCCACATCCTGGTAGGGTACCTGCATCCCGGTATGGTACCTGTATCTCAGTACTGATACCTGTGTCCCAGTGTGATACTCGTATACCAGTTTGGTACCCGCATCCCAGTACTGGCACCTACATCCTATTGTGATACTCACATCCCAGTATGGTACCTGCATCCCAGTATGGGTACCCACATCCCACTGTGATACCCACATCCCAATACAGTATCTGCATCCCAGTATGGCACCTGTATCCCAATACTGGTACCCACATCCCACTGTGATACTCACATCCCAGTGTGGTATCTGCATCCCAGTATGGTACTCACATTCCAGTACTGGTACCTGTATCCCAGTATGGTACCTACATCCCAGTACAGCACCTGCATCCCTGTACTGGTACCCACATCCTGGTACTGGAACTTGCATTCCATTCACAGCACCGGCATCCCAGTATGAGTACAAGTATTCCAGTACAGTTACCCACATCCTGGTACCGTACCTGCATCCCAGTATGGTACCTGCATCCCAGTACGGTACCTGCACCCTGCTGCAGGTTTCTGCATCCCACTACAGCACCTGCATCTCGCTGCAGGAATCCGTATCCTGGTTCGTTACCTGCATCCCAGTATGGGTACCAGCATCCCAGCCCAGTATGAGTACAAGTATTCCAGTACAGTTACCCACATCCTGGTACCGTACCTGCATCCCAGTATGGTACCTGCATCCCAGTACGGTACCTGCACCCTGCTGCAGGTTTCTGCATCCCACTACAGCACCTGCATCTCGCTGCAGGAATCCGTATCCTGGTTCGTTACCTGCATCCCAGTATGGGTACCAGCATCCCAGTACGGGTACCTGCGTCCCAGCGCCGGGTACCTGCCGGATCTGGGCCAGGGCTAGGCCCTGGCACCCCATCCATGACGTGCACAGCAGCACCCGTGCCAGGTCAGCTGCCCCCAGGCCGCCCACAAGGCCGCGTGTCCCCAAGACCCAGCGCTGGCATCGTCCCCGTGCCCCAGGCCGCAGCTCCGCCCTGCGGCGAGTGCCAGGGC